GGGCATTATTCCCACACAGAGTGAGTGGATGTTTTTGATTAGTCTTCAATTAGCTTATCGGCAATTTATTTTATTTTATTTTTTACATAGGAAGCATTCATTTGCTTTCTTACAAATAAGAGTTTACACTTATCCATCACCATGTCTTGCCATAAATTCAAACAGAACTGCCTGTGGGCCCCAGCTACAGCTTAGTCACCAACACTAAATGGGTTACCCAATATGCTCATCACTGAGGTGGAAACTCCATCAGCTCCTTATCTGGCTCTCCCACTAAAATAAATAAATAATCGAACTGCTAAAATAAATGAAGCTCTAACTTATCCAAAATGTTATCTGCATCTGCTGAGGAAGAATGAGGGAGTCAGCTCTGTTGTGGAGTTGCTCCGTGGTGTTGAAAATGGAAGGGTGTTAGGCCTGAGGAGAAAGTGCAGTGCAGAACCAAGCCCCTTAGCGTGTGATCGTAATTTACAACATAGGAAGTATTAATAAATGGTGAACTCCTAAGCCTTAGCTGGGAAAGAGTCCTAGGTTTTGTCAAAGGTATAATAATTTGTAATGACTGGGAATGGATGGGTGAGTCTAAAAGCAGGGCAAAAAAGAAAAAAATAAATGAAGCTGAATTAAATTGAATATCCTTTCTCTGAAAAAGGTACTCTATTTTCTCCAAACCAAGACATGCAGCTCATCTATGAGTATTATGGAATAATCAGTAATCAAAGGCAGAAATGCTTTCAATGTCAAAAGTTTCTGAAATAACAAGAGAAAGAAGAAAGATGAACAGAAGAAAATAAATGGGAAATGGAGAGGCCAATTATATTTTAAAATGGTTCTTAAATGAAGTCTTCCCTAATGGGGGCTGATTGCCATGTCAAAAGAAAAAAAATGTAAGAAAAATAACAATAACAAAAACACACACAGAAATTCTTTTGATTATGTTTTCTAAAACATACAGCTTTTCCAACTACCTTCTCTTTCAAATGCTATCGCACAGCCTTTCTGAGTATACACATACAATCTAGTGCATTCATTTTAGTTATTCTGTATCTTTTATTTCTGCTGGTCTTGGGGCTGTACAGATATCCCTCTAGGTTAATATCTCACTGTCAAGGATGGTGCCCCATAGGGAAGTTCAGCCACTTCTTTCAGTAGTTCTTTCAGATCCTACCACTCACTGTCAAAAATTGTGGCATCTTCTATTGGTTTTTCATTCCCTTTTATGTATCTTCTTTTTATTGTTTTTTTTTTCTTCTTCTTTATATGTTTTCCCTCTCTCTCCTCCTGCTGTTCTTATTATCTCTAGTCCCACAGGTTCTCAGCTGTAGCCTTCTTTGTTTTCTGTGTTTGACTGGTAGCCCCTTTGACTCTTTCTCGGTATCTCTAGGATTTTCTTTCAGCATTTTCTTTCCCTCTAATCAATGCCTTTCTTGTTTAAAGCTACAGTGGTCTTTGGTTTGTCCTGTGGCTATTTGCCTTATTGTGACAAGAAGGATGAATTGTCTCCTGCTTTTTCAGCAGACCTAAAGTGCTGCCATTCATCAACTTGGAGATGATTTCATATATTTAAGATGTCAGGAGCCAGAATGATACTAAATAAACAGTACTTGACTAAAAAGTCCCAATGATGTTGCCTTATTCTTTGTAGAGCCCCTATCCCTAGCTAGTAAGTAGTATCTGCCAGCAGAGGAAACAAGTTTTAATCAACTTTATTGTCATTAACAAAATCTCTCAAGCATTCAGGAAGAATGGTATCTGCCAATGGTTTCAAAGTACCAATAGAAATTCATATATATCTATATTTATAATATTTTCTTTTATATAAACTAGTTGAGCCTGCATTCATGTGTCTGTATGTAATTGCCACCACTGAGAATTTTCTACACAGACACATGTGACATGAACTGACTTTATTTCCGAAACTATACAATACCATTTTGGCCCTTCAACACCAAAATTGCTGAGATGAGACATTTTATTTATTTCATTAATTCCCAATCACAAACTCATCTAGTTCAATGATTTCTGTAATATAATTTAGTTCTGAATATCTCAGTCTTTCTCAGTAATTATTGAGTCAAATTAAATTATAATCACTTATCAGTCAATGATCACAGCCTATAGCCGGATCTCTCTCTGAATTTCCTCTCTGACCCTAAAACCCGTAAGGTGCCTTTCTCACTCTCATCTCCCCAAAAGCAAGAGCAGCAGGGAGTGAAGATTATGCTTGTGTGATTAACAGCTCACTGGCAGTAAAGAGGCATTCCAGTCTTGGTCTGCTTCCATGTCAAATCCGTCACCTCTCAAAAGCAAGCCGTACTCTATCCTTACTTTGTGTATGCATCTTATGACACAAGAAAACATCCAGCAAGTCAGACATGTGACTTGTTCTTCTTTACTAACCTCCTTTCTGCAAATTCTGAGAAGCAAGAGGTAACTAAGGCAGGTGTCTCTGTCTCTACTCTTTTTGCACACAGTAACCAGGGTTTACCTATGTCTTGTTCATCTGGAGCCCTGTAATGAGCCTCCAGGCTTCAGACAATCTGGTGCTAGTCTCTATGTTCAAGTATACCAAACTTCAAAAATAGATGCCCAGTGCATTACAAACTCCAAAAATACATGCTCAGAGGGCCAGTGCAAAATTAAAATGTAGAACCTCTTGTTCAAAAACTATTAAACGCTTCATAATGGCTACCACAGAGCATTGAACCATGCTTCTTCTAAATGCAGGGCCCTGTGTGACTGCACATGGAGCACATCCCTGCTGCCATCCTTCCAGTGTCTGCTTTTCTGCATTATCTAGGAGCCCCTCCAAATACTTGCTCTAAGAACAGTCCTTCATATACTTTCCTCTAGCCCTTCTGCTATATCTTCTCAGTGATAAAATGGGTCATCCTCTCCGTATCTTGGACTTCACCCCCAAATTTCAAATCATGAACTGAGCTTTCTTTGAAGTTATATGGTGGGAATTAATGAAACTTGCTTTAGAAAATACAGAAGCTTTATGTTGGGTATATTTGAACTACCTGATGATTTGTTGTTGTTTTTGTCTGGTAAACTGGTTTTTCTCCACATTTTCTGGATACCATTACAATCTCAGGGATGAGGCAGAGGCAGATACCATCTCAATAAGCATCATCGTGGCCATGCAGCAAAAGGAAAAAAGAAGGAAGCAATCTAGATTATCTTTCCTAGTCCAATGGCTTTGGAAAAAGGAAATAGGGCTCTTTTCTTGCTCTGTTTGGGACTTGGGAACATGACTGCTGTGTAGGGCAGCCCCACATACCCCGGCATAGTAAAGAAGGACAAGCATTGAGGTAATAGAAAGATATTGTTCAGTTTGCACACCTGAAAAATGTGACTTCTCAGTGGTGTGAAATTTAAGAGCCAGGAGACCTGTCTTTGGGCCCAACATGATGGCTGCATGGGAAAAAGTAGTGAGGTGATCTTGTGACAAAGGATATAAGATTGATAGGATAGACATTGTGCCAGACAGATGACATGGAAGTGACTCAGAGGAGTTGTAGTGGCCACAAGAGAATAGGAAAGGCTAAGTAAGCATAGTGGGACCATTAGGCCCTGATCAAGCCAAAAAGGATAGCAAGAGTTGATTATTCTCAGATGTCAGTAGTGGTTGACAACAGTGTACCATATATTAGATACAACCACTACTTCTTAGGGGGTACTAGCCAATACCACATCTAGGTACCAGTACTAGACTGGGGGTCAACTTCCGCTACTTAGAAAAGGTCACATAGGCCTCTTTCCCATAAACTAAGGTGCTACTCTTAGAAGGAGAAGGGGGACAATATCTCAGATGTTCACAGATGATTTTGCATAAAGAAAACTGAGTTATTCCAAATAAATATGGTAGCTCTGATAGAAAATAATCAACAGAATAAATAGACAACCCACAGAATTGGAGAAAATAGTTGCAAAGTATACTAAAATGCAGAGTCTACAACGAACTCAAACAACTCAGTAAGGAAAAACAAAAACAGAAAAACCCCCAAATAACCCCATCAAAAGTTGGGCAAAATACATGAACAGAATTTTTTCAAAAGAAGATAGACAAATGTCCATCAAACATATGAAAGACTGTTCAACATCACTAATCATCAGGGGAATGCAAATTAAAACCACAATGAGATACCACCTTACTCCTGTCAGAATGGTCATTATCAAAAAATCAAAAAACAATAGATGTTGGCATGAATGTGCTGAAAAAGAAACACTTAATATTTTGATATAAAAAGTATTAAATTAAAAAAATAAAAAGGAGTAGAGATATGAGGCAATTGCTAGTAAGATATGTTGAGTTTGGAAGGGTTTTTGTTTACAAGGTCAGAGAAATTATAGCATATTTGTATGTTGATGAGAATGATTCAGTAGGGAGATTTTATGATGCAGAAGAGAGAGGTAAGAATTGCTAGAGAGGGCAAGAGGAGATGGCCTATATTGTACAAGTAGAGGAGTTAACTATAAAAAGTACAGTTCATCTGTATAGCAGACAGAAGGCAAGTCCTGACATGCTCACAATTTTCCAATATCCCATGAAGCATAACAGGGATTACAAATGCTGTCATTTTACTTATCAAGGTGAAGAAACTTATAATGGTGATTTTCAAAGGCCAAGGAGGCAATTTAGCATACTGACTAAGAGCACAGATTAAGTCAAAGGAATGGGTCCAGCTCCACCACTCTAAACTCAAGTTTCTTGTTTTTTAAAATGTCATTGTGAGGAATTAGGTGAGATCCAGAGACAGCTAAACATGGTGTGGTTGGATCTAGTTGCACTTGCTCAGCACAACCATGTCCTCTCTTCCTCAACACAGGGCTTTACTGTGTTTGCAAGTTCCAGCTGCAGATTGGTAGGGCCATGAAACTGAGTTCTGTCCACATGAAAATGAACAGAGTGATAAACACCAGTTCTAGTTCTGATCTACTCTAACCTTGATCATGTTCTTCTTCCCTTCCTTTTCCGTCATTATTCTTCCAGGTGGATGCAGGGGATATACTGGAAGATTTTGAGGCCCTAGAAGATGGAAGAGCCACCAAAGCTGGAAAGTGGTTTGGTCTCTTCTACATTTATGTAAGCAAGAAATAAACTTTTATTACCTTAATGCACTAAGATTCTTGGCTTGTTCACTAGAGGTGCAAGAATTAATTCCTGTAACCAATACAATGAGCCCTTAATAAATGTTAAATATTACTATTATTGCAGTTAGCCCCAGACAACACATTAATTGATTATGGAGATCTGCAGGTACCCAGGTTTCTTCATTCCTAGTTTAGAGCTCTTCTATGCTACATATTAGATGATCTATATTTTGTCCACTGTGCACAAGAAGCCATTATCCCTTTCAGGACATAAACCCTACTGTGTTAGAAAAGGAAGTGTAGAGTTATATCTTGTCAGAAACTCAATCTATAAGCCATCTTAAGCAGCAAACGTTGCTTTGACTCTCCTCTTTTACAGTTGCAGTGTAACTGAAAATAAATAATTGAGGCTATGTATCACTGAATAAATCAGATTATGAGTATCTGATCTATGGATGCAGAATATCTACTACCCTGAGATTTCTATTGCAACTAGGTCACAAGTGAAAATATTTCCAGCTACCATCTCTAAGCTTTATGTGGACAGATAGTAGTTGACATTTTTCAATAACAATATGATAATTGCTATCTTAGAATTGTGTTAATTTCTCCAACTCAAAAGAAATTGAATTTTCTTTCTTTTACCTTTCTGCTCATTTAATTGGAGCATAACATTAGGAAAAACTCTTTAATATTCAAGAAGCATATCTCAAATAGCATCATGTCATGAATATTCCCCACTGTAAAGTCATACTTTTGCTTTGACCTTGTTGTCATTGTTTTGTTACATAAATTATTCAGCCTGGTATGTCTTATAGATTAAATACTCTGGAAACAAATTAAAAAGCATCCCAGTGGCTTAGAAATGTCAAGTAAGTCTTCTTTTCTCCGAATACCTCTTGTAAAATGGAATAATAAAAAATAACCGCACAAAATAGGCAAGATGATTTGCTAAGAGGTCAAATTGCCAAGTGAAATAAACATCTCTGTTCCTTAAAAAAATCTTATAACTCACTTCTCATTCTTTAAATTAGACAGGCATATGCAGCTTGCCCATTGATATGTAGAGGAGTGAAAGCAATATTCCTTCTTCTGCCCCAATACCACAATGTCCTTTTTATAATCAGGACATGCAGGCTGGAAGACACATTTTCGTTAGAAGGCAGACTGCTCAAAGCTTCCCTTACCCATAGAAGAGAGTTGCCAGGAAGACAACATAGTTCCTGCGTAGAGTTTCCCAACACTTGAATGGGCTACTGTGAGTCCTGACCACTGGAAGTTTCCCCTAGAAGCTAGATGACTAATCATGGCATAAGGTATAAAATGATTCCCTAATTGAACTGAAGGCTCATTTTACTTACTCTATCAAAACAAAACAACTCTATTAAGCAACTAATTCTAGGATAGTCATTGACAATACAAATACAAAAAGACAATATCCCTTGAGAATCTATTAACACTATCATAATATTTTCCCTGTATCAGGGGCTGTTCTAACTGGATAGGTATTAACTCCTTTAGTTCTCACAACAACTCTCTAAAGGTGGTCTTATTATCATATTTATTTTATAAATGATAAACTGAGGCTCAGAGTGGTTAAGAGATATGCCCACGCCACATAGGCAGCAGATGAGAAGAGGCTTGACTACAGGCAACCTGAGCCCAGAGTTCAGGTTCCATACCCTCCTTCTCTGTCCCTAAGGCTCTGGGTCCCAGCAGTCTACTAGGGGTGACCCACTAATAAAGCCACTATTATACCTTGATAAGGACAAGAGTAAAAGCATACACAGACTACTGAGATACACCTGTTTAACAGGAATTTCCAGGTTGCTTTTAAATCTCTATGTCTGATTTTAAGAACAGACTGACTATAATGCAAAAGGCACAAAAAGAATTGATTTTTTGACATATGCAATTTGCTATAGGATTATAAGATAACAGTGTTCTTGGATAGAGTATACCCCAAATAAAACCCTTCCATATGCAAAGAAGGGTGTCCTGCCTTTGCACCTCATACTATCACTCCTGTACTTTGCAAAAGCATGTTACAGTGCAAAAGTCTGCTATGAACACTGACTGGTGCCAGTCAAGCCAGATCTCTAACCCTCAAGACAGAGAAAAAGGTTCATTAGGCCATAACCTTAGGATAATAATAATAATATTGATAAAGTAGTTCATTTAAGCTTTGAGAACACCTTCACGTTAAATAAATTGACATCAAGATCATTATGATTAGATGTATAAGAAAATGACCTATCAGGTGCATTATCAAACTGATCCTTCTAAAAATCCAGTTAATTCTGAGGTTGTTTATAACCTCAGCCTGCCTTCAAAAGGCAAAATCTGCAAAGCCCATCCAATATTCAGTAAATATTTCTAATATATTTATGTTCCATCATTCTCTTTTGGAAGCCTATAATACAATAATACACCTTGATAAAGATTGATCTGCATTAATTAATTCTTCCAAAAGTTGGCTCATTTTTAAAATTGGCTGTAGGTAGTTCTTATTTAGAGATACAGGCAACAAGTTTGTGGGGTTTTTTTGCTTCACAAACAAACCTTTCCATTTAAGAATAATAATTACCATGGTAACCCTAACAGCTTAGGAATAGTTCAGGCATGTAGTTTCTAGGGAGAGAAAAAAAAAAAAATCTCAGCATTTCTGAAGCCTGTTTAACCCTTCAAGATTCAGTGTCTATTTCTATGGCAGAGTCAATTTGGTTTAACCTTTTTTTTTTTTTCGAAATATGTAAGAAATGTTTTCACTGGAGGCATCGGGAAGAGATGAAAATGAACAGAATGAGAAATGATACATTTAAAGTAATTTAATCTCATTTAAAGAAGTATATGCCAAATATAGTATTTGAAATCGCATTTGGCTCAGACACAGGGCAGCATTCTCTTGCATGTCTCGACTCTCAGCGATGGGGTTGAGTAATGAACAGCGCCGTCATCGTGCAGTCCGGGTATGTTGTGCTACGAACCATTCAAATTCTCCTTCTTTTTCCTCGTGCAGCACAACACTCATATTATGTAGGAAATGAACAACCTTGATAGAGCAATTTGGCTGTAATTTGGCTGTAACTGAACCTCAAAAACAGAAGTCCTAAGCTGGACCGGGTCTCACGACTTTTCTGTCTGCCTTTTCTTCTTACCTCACTCTGCCTAATGGCATTTTGCCTGCAGTGCCAAGTTTGAGATCCAAATTAAAGTGTGAATGTTTGCTGCCCACGCAGTTTAATAGGCGCAAATGCATACCTCCTATAAAAGTGCAATTCATACTGAACAAACACTGAATTGGGTTTGCACAACCATATTAACATAATGAATTTAGGTAATCTGATAGCCTTCCACAAAGTCTTAAAAAATAGTCGCTATCTTGCTAGCATTGCTTATTAGTGTTTAGAAGAAGGAATTCTCATTCTAAATCTCTCTGTAGTAAATACTGAATTCTATTGGTGCATTTAAAAATCAGAGTGATGTCAGAGAAAGAAATGGAAAATTATACTGTTCACATACAAGTGCATTCATCTTGCTTCCAAGAAAACCTAAGCTTGATTCATGAGTTTGCTCGGTTATATCACACTCTCTCTCTTTTCCTCTCTCTCTCACTCTCTCTTTCTATATATACACACATACATATACACATACATAAAATTCCATTGTTTACAATTTCATTATATAATTTAAATTGTATTGTCTGTGAACTGTATAGCTGATCTGGTGAATCTGTTCTGTCAGTAAGGTTACTTCTTTTCACACATCTATTAAAATTTTAATAAATGTTCACCACCAGGTAAGCAGTGCTTTCAGAAAATTATTTAGTCCATATTCTTTATGTCAATGAAGCCAGAAAAAGAGACGTTAAAGAATGGAGGGATCTGATATGAGTTCAGTATTCTAGCAAAGATTTGATGATGGTGATGGTTTTTAATGTTGTTATTATTATTACTATTGTTATTATTTTCCAGCATTTCCTTCCTGTAACTCTCCTCTCCAGAAGAAAAGAAAATCTATTAAGAAGGATAGCCATGGAATTTTTCCCCCACAACCCTTTTATCTTCCCATCAAATCTTGATGCTCATACAGGGCAATGAGTCTCTGAAAATAATGGTTTGTGGCCATGGTAACTGAAGGCAATAAGCTATATAACCATTGCCGGATCTCATGATGGGAATGAAATAAACTTCTGTCACTACTTTTTATCTTTTTCCCCAATCCTTTCATACCTTCAGATCATTCTTCATTTTCTAGCCTTTAGCATTGCATTTCATTATTATTTTTTTATTTCCAAAAGTGCTGTGCCAGGTCTGCAGCCAGAGGAAAAGCCTGCAGTGAACGAAACAAGATTCTTTTTTAAAAACTGCATTAGGTGAGTTTTCTGTCTTCCATTGGTTCGGATCTAGGAAGTTTAACTGGGACTGCATACATGACACCAACACACGTGATCTTCATGTTGAGATGAAGATGGTCTAAAAAGAACACCTTCCACAAAGGACCCCAAAGTCGCTTTAGCTGGCATCCACTTCTCCTTCTTGCCACCTTTTAGCACTCCCCTACCCCTTCATAGCTTGAATCAGAAAAAAAAAGTGTTGCATTTTCAGATCTCTGTCTCTTCTCTCTGCCATAGTGCCTAAACGTCCAACATTAGAGATCCATTCTGGGTATAATCATATTCTTTACTGCAAGACTTCCTCTCTTAAAATGTAAATGCCCCAGAAAGGAAAAAAGGCATTAAGCTAGTTATGCAGGAGTCCATGTGAATTGCTCCACCTGAACTCATTGTCTTCCCCTAATAGGTAGCTTAAACAGGGTATCAAGGAAATAGTATTTTATTAGTGGAAAAAATTAGGAAGCCTATTATGGCTACTTTAGAGCACTGGGCATTTTTAAGGGCAGACATGATTAGGTAAGAAAACCTCCAGGAGAACTAGAGAGAATTTAGAGACAACGTTTACAAGCAAAGAGAAAAGAGGCCCAGAAAGGAGACAGGAGATAGAACTAAAGAAGCTCAATTTCTTATCCTGTTATCTAGGGTTAGGCGGTGCTTCAGGACACAATAAAGCCTTGGGGGATATTTAAACTAAACCTGCTATCCTGTGCCTTTTAAACCCTTGAACCTAATCATCTCATCTCTGAAATGATTTCTAAATTATTAGAACCACAAATCTATTCTTATGTCTTAGGGAGCATATTAAATACATACAAAAGCTGCACCATCACACTGGCGTTGGAGTTTTATCAACTTTTTCTTCGCCTCCACCTGACTGGCTTCCCTGAAGTTAATAGAGACTAGGTCATTCCAAAATCCTTTGCAGCCAAAAAGGAAGTCAATAAATACTAAGTCTCAGATAATTTAATAAATGTATGCATTAGAGTAATCATTTAGCTTTCATCAATTGTGTATGGAAAGGATGGTGAAGGTGCCATTGAAGTAAGTGAAGCCACATTATACTAGAATATGATCTATTCCTTTTCAAGGTAGTTGATGACAGGCATTCTAATAGAAAACTGGAGAAAGATACATTTAAAAAGAAAAAGTAGCAAACCAGGTGAGAGACATATGGAAAGTCCTATACTGTTTTTGCCACTTTTATGTAAATCTAAAATAAGAAAATAAAAAGTGTTTTTAACTATCAGGAAAGAAGAAAAAGAGGATGGAGAAAGAAAAGTAAGAGAAGGAAAGAGGGACCACAATACTAAGGGTGAAAAATGAGGAAGGATGGATGAATGGATGACGTTTAATTAGTTCCCACTTCCTGTCAGGCACTATGTTAGGCACCTTGCATTTTTTGCTCATTAATTCTGACCATTTTTGTCAGTAGATATTATTATTTTCATTTTAAGATGAAACAAATCAGACTTCTAGGGGATAAAAATGTATCAAGATCACTGGAGCAGGAAGCTGTGTGAATTTTACTCAATGCGTCTTAGACTTCAAATTCTCTGATGTTTTCCTCTGGTCCATTTTCATTTCTTCTGGCCCCTCCATGGACTTCCCTTTTGCCATATAACATAGATATCCAATCAAATCCTTATCCTATTCAGCTGTTCTAATTTTTTTTTGCTTTGGTATGAACTATGCCATGCTTGTGAAACACTCTGTTCTGTGTTTAACTTTGTAAGCCAAAACACCAGCTGAGGTACCCAACCCTCAGTGCTGTGATAGTTGCATTTTATATCAAATAGTCCTCTAATATTCTCTTTGACAAGTAGAATCCACACTCCCTTGTGTTAAATTGTTAATGGCTTCCCTTGTGGTTGGTTGCTCTGATTTCATCGTAATTTAGACTCCTCATTTTATGTCGGTAAAATTGTCTAGAATAACATCACGACCGTTGGCTAGAAGCCCTTGATGTGCCCCAGAAAGAAAGGTGTGTGCTCCCATAAGTACATCCCTTTCTTTCCTGCGCTTTCACTGTTTGCCTCTCTTTCTTCCTGGCTGTTTGCTTTTTGTGTTTTTCTCATTCATCTGGGGTTTTTTCCCCATTCTACTTGCAATGTTTCTATTGTTTCTTAAAACATACTTCAAGTGAACCAGTAACATATTTATGTGATGTGTTAGATATTTCAAAAGGATGTATCTGACATGAAAATCTTTAGCTGCAATTGAGAAGTGTGTTTCATTACAAATTTCTGCATCCTTGTTCTGTACATTTTATTAATAGTTACCCCAATCTTTGGGAAGAGGGGGAGAATATCGACACAAAACCTTTTCATTCTGGTGCTTTTTTTGTTTTGTTTTTTTAATGCTTGAAGGATTCTTTTTCTATGATGACCTTATTTCAAATTGAGTGTACAAATTCCTCCAGTTTTCATAACAAGCATCCATACTTTGGAGTGACCTTCTATAAAATCCAGCACAGGAATTATTCATTCCTCTCAACATCCTCTTAAAGGCTGAAGTTTAAAAAATAAAAGATTTTATTCTTCAGATGTCCTGGTAAATCCTGGAGTTGGTGTAAGAAACTCTATGAATCTTTTCTTTTAAAACACAGATTCACAGTGTTCTTCTCAGACTCAAGATGCATATACCCATAATACCATACTTTGAGACAAAACCAAACCAAACCAAACAAAACAAAAAGTATGAAGTGAAAGTACAGGAAAGTTGGCCCTTGCTTCTTTCAACCAGTCTATCTATGATGATCAGGTATATTTCCCCCCACAATCGCCCCTGTATTTATTTCCCTACAGACATTCATGCTCTGGAGTTCTGTTTAATAGCAAACCTAGAGAGGCATAGGACAAGGCCACCATTAATTAGTCCTATAGGTAGGGTGACCATACAGGTGATCCTCCAAACCAGGACATTTTGACAGTGAAAGGAAAAGATGTTAGTCATATATGCTTGGCACTTTTCTGGGGATCAGGTAAAAAAATAATAATATATACTAGTAAAACAAGCATAAACTGGGACAGACGCTTAGGTAAGCTGAGATGCACTGTTATTTTGTTGTCTGACATAATTATTACTAATATCCCCTTTTGCTCTCCAAGTATCCCCTTTTTGGGTAATAGATTATATTTGTTGTTCATAAGATTTTTGGTCTCAAGATTGCTTTACCCTATTAAAAATTAATTAGGACTCAAAATAGCTTTTGTTTACGTGGGTTATCCCTCAGTATTTACATGTTATAAATTAAAACTGAGAAATTTTTAAAATATGCATTCATTAATTTTTTTAGAAATAAAAATATACTGTTTGTTCACAATTTTTAGAAGTAAAAATAGACTGTATGTTCACATAAATAACGTATTTCAATAAACTCACTTTTCCAAAACCAATCAGTGAGAAGGGTGACATTGTTTTATGTTTTTGCACATCTCTTTAATGACTGGCCTAATAGAAAACAGCTGAATTCTTGTGTCTGTTTCAAGATTCAATCTGTTGTGATATAACATATTATGCAGCTTCTGGAAAACTCTCATCAGAAAATGAAAGTGGAAAAAGCAAATAACATCTTAGCATTATTATGAAAATAGTTTTGACTTTGCAGACTCCCCAGCTATACTTTGATAACTGCTGGGTTATGTGATCTCCTTACTTGGGGGTAAGAGGGACACTTTTTCACAGAGCTTCCTAGAACTGGCAAAACAACACCTGCCTTTTCTCATTTTCTCTGATTAGAACAAACTCCTGCTTTGTCTTAAGTTGGTTACTTCCTTTGTATCTTTCATATTTTAAATGTTTTAAATTTCAATGTAGTTTCTTACAGAAAGTCTTCCCCAACCCCCAGGAAACTAGGCCAGATTCTTTTGCTATTTGTTCTAAAAAAAAATACTGTGCTTTGTTTATCATAGTACTCACCATAGTTTAATGTCATTGCTGGTAGAAGTATCTGTCTACTTGGTAGACTCTAAGTCTCAAGATGGTGAGGACTGTATCCATCCTTCCCAAACACACATTGTGTTCTTGCCACCAGAATAGTGCCTGACATGGAATACAAATGTAATAAATATTTGATATTCAAATTACTTGTTGAATAAACCAATTAAGGACATGCCTAATCTTTATATACCTAAAACCAGTGCACCTGTTTGTGACTAGCCAGAGATGAGGCTACTGTCTATGACAGAATAAAGCTAAACGTGTGACATGAATTTCATAATTTTAGTCTAAATGGCATTAAACACTGAGAACCAAATCTAATTATAATACATACAAAGCAAAGGCAGCCCAAAGACTGGAAAAGTGATAAGACTTGAGCTATTCCAAAAACTTTTAATGAATATGAAGCAGCTTGATTGAAATATGCACACATCACTTATTTTACATTACATATTCCCTCAGTACCTCATCCTCGGTGAACTCTTCCTCTTCTGAATTTCTATACTACTAGTGTTTTATATCCCTAGGGTCCTTTTCATCCTGACCATATACTATCATTATGTTTCATGGACTCTGTCATATCCTTTACTAGATGACAAATTGAAAAGATTATACTCTGTAGCTTATAACATTTCCTCTTCCCATAAAACTTATACTGGGCAACATCCTGCACATAGTAGGCACTGATAAATAGGTGTACGTGATGTGGAAGTATGCGTTAGCAGAACACTAGATTGTCTCCAGCTTACCTTAGTAAAAAAAGCAAAAAAAAAATTATGTGGACTACAGAAAAATTTGAAGACACACCAAAAACTTAATCTTGGAACCCTGCCATTTCTCCTGACTAGGGCCCTTTGTGATGAATGCCTAACCTTTAGCAACTTTGATACCCACGGGTATTCATGAAGGAACGGAGCTCCATCTGCCCCGTACATTCTCAGCCTCAGGGTTTAGCCCATCTCATCCTCTTTGAGTTATGGGTCCTTGTTCTTTTACTCAGATTTATGAATTCAGACAGCATCATAGAAGGCAGGTACAGCACATAAATCAAGTAACACAGCATCTGGGACAAGCTGCAAAATTATCATTGTCCCTTTCCACACTTCACAATGTCAGTGAGGCTATGTCTACCAGTTTAGGAGCTTGCAACAGTTAACATGACTTAAGTGCTTAGCTGATTATGTGAGTTTCATTTGGGCACAGGAAAAAGATTGGTTTCATATATTTCTGCATTCAACAATAAATTTATAACCTAACTACATAATATACAACATATGATCCTGTTTGTTAGAAAATGATGTCAGACCAGATGTTCTCCAAGGTTTCTTCTAAGTTCTGAAATTCTGTAATTTGATGAGATAATATTTAAAATATTTGATATTACTTGATAGCAATGCTTTTAAAATGATTTTTAGTGTTTTTGATGAGAGTATTAAAAAAATTTTCCCCATCAAAAATAATTTAGTGTTTCTCAATGGGTCTCTCAAATGTTGATCAATTTTCACTGTTAGAAAATAAACAGTGATAAATGCCATCAAAGAAATCATTATCTTTACGATAACAGATTTTGAATGATCTATATCAAAATAACTCCATATAAGGGTGGCATAGGTAACTGGTTTTTCACCAAAAAGACTGTGGTATTCCATCTATAGTTTTAGAGCTATTGCTGGAAACTATTAATAATTTTCCCGATAGTGTTTACAAATCCAATTCTCTACAACATTTGTGTGGGGTCAATAGAATTTGGGCACAAAGGATGTATATATATATATATATATTTTTCCCGATAGTGTTTACAAATCCAATTCTCTACAACATTTGTGTGGGGTCAATAGAATTTGGGCACAAAGGATGTATATATATATATATATATATATATATATATATAAAATCACTCCCAGTACTAGTCCATATAAAACTCACGTATAATCCTTCATGCCCTCTTTCTTGATTTTCAGAGCTATCTCTGGAACCACACAATGAAGATAACAGGAACTCCATCAGCCTGGGATCTTGAATGACTGCGTGGAGCAGAGTTTTATTTCCACCCTATCAACAACTTGCCTCACCCCAACCATTAATGATTGAACTTTAGATGAGCAAGAAATATGCTTCTATTTTGCATGCCACTGATATTTTGGAATTTATTAGTTCTACAGCAGATACTACTAATGTCACCAGTGCAATTGAGCTATGCTATTTCCTTCAAAACAAACCACCACAAAAAGCATCATTTTCTTTAGAATTTTAAAGACTATTTTCCTTTGTCTTCCATGAATCTTGACATAAGTGTATGTTTTTGAAAAGCAAAATGATGTATTCTGGTTAAAAATTGTTGAGTCTTATTTATCATCAGTGCCTAGGACATATTTTTTAACAAGCTGAAAAGAATTTAATATTGACATAAAATGAGGTCGTGCAGAAATAGTCTACTGCATCCATGATCAGTTTTAAAAAATCCCCTAGCAGGGTTAGACACAGAGTAGGTCTCATGCACTTTGAAGTGACTATATTTGTCCTGAGGGTCTTTCTGTCATTTCAATTAAACCAACTGAATTTTCCATGTTGGTAAAATTAAAATCTGGGGTAACAATTCCCCTTGTCACTTTTTTTCTTATGAAAGGTGAAAAATAACTTTTTGAATGCTCTATTTTTAACTAAACAAAAATTTTCACCTTGTCCACAGAGATGAGGCCCCCCTCCTTCTGCTCTACATCAGCTTGCGTGGCTGCATCAGGACTCCTCTGTGTTTCACCTCCCTTTGTGTAGGTTGCCTTGAGCCCTCTTTTACTATCAGTAGTTTTGTTTCCCTGTGATCTTATTCTCACTCAGAATTTCCCAGGCATAATTCAGCTTCATATTTGTGCATTTTCTGAAGGACATTTTCTGAGCACATATAGCTTCTCTGCCTTTCTTCCTAACATGTCTGAATCTTTGGAATTGGGTGCCTCTTTTGCTTGAATGATTTCTGTTACAGAATTGTATCCAAATCTCAATTTTAACTATACCATTGTATGTGCTTTATTATTAATTCTTTATAATCTCAGGCTCACTATTTTATTAACTATATTTTATGCTATAATTTATGGACATTAGTGTCACCAAATACTGTTTTGACTTCTCACACCAATTATTTTCTCTTGTGAGCACTTTCCGTTATCCTTATACCCATATCATATGATAGTATTACATTGTAGTACAGTTTCTGCCAGGAATTCACAGGGGATTTTGTCACGGGAGATGTTTGAAGAAATCAATTGTTCTCTACTTATTTTTTCCTGAAATATCAACCTATTAATTATCTCTTGAAGAGAAACTGAAGCTTTTTTTTTTTGAAAAAGTGACTTCATTTCCTGTTGACAGATCCAAAGAGAACTTAGAACTCTGATAACCAGGCACCTATAATCTAGAGAAGGATCCATATCCAGCTCATTTGGTGAGATATTCTGAAGAGGGGAAGATGTCACCTTCTTATATCCTGATGTTCCAAGGTTCTTACCTCAGAAAAGCCTGAAATAAGAGCCTTTACTGAGTATGCACATGTTTACTCAACCCTCACACCTGATGCCTCTGGTTATTTGGCAGGAGGCACCCACAGGTACCACAGGTCTGGCTCATCCAGGCCACATCTCACTTTTAATCCCATCTGGGCAGCCCCACAATCTTCCTCATTACCATCTATTAGTGAAGGAAAAAATTGACGGGTGCTTCCTGGAGAGGAGCAGGTTGTCAGGTATTGGAAGCCTGATGAGTCTGTCAAGTTCATACCCCAGGTCATGGCTGCTATGGTGGAAAGGAGTGTTAGGGCCAAGTTTGTCTGCTTAGATATTAACCCTAAGGCCTCAAGCTGTTACCTGGCTCCTTCCCAGGCTGGACTTCTATGCAGATCTCCTATGTGCCTGACATAGCAGTAAAATTTCTAATGAAGGTGTTCCCCCATAGGGCTAGCCAGAAAGGCCATTGATGCCTCTTGGCCAGGCTTCCATGCACTCTCTTTGCAGAGCTCCACTCAGTAGAGGAATGAGGAACTGTTCAGTGGGTCTAACTCCTTCGCCTCCTTGGATGAAATGAGAGTAGACCAGGCAAGCAACTGTGGCCAGTGATAAGCTGTGAGGAGAGTGGGCATGGTGGGGTTTCCACAGATAGTAACCTGAGGAGGTCAGGGTGGATCAAGGAACCAGACCTAAATTTGGGGACTCCTTGGGCTCTGCCCTATGGTTTTCACAGTTGAGTAAATGACAGTTCTCTCCCAAGGGAATCTGGAGTAGGCCATGAGCATGTTTGCATGTTACTACTGCTTTCATATTTCACCACCCACCCTGCATATCACCTCTAACAGGCACCTCCATTTTCCTGCCACTCCTACTCTAACACTTAATGTTAACATTCTGACTAGGGATGTTTTTATACAAAAAGGGGAGCAATTACAAAACAATTGTGTTAAACAACTTTGTCTACAAAATATCATCTCATAAAAATCATTTATGTAGCCCCACCGGGGCAGGAGGTGTGATCTCACAGGTCTTTATTATCTTCATTATATTCCATGATGGATGACGTTTCCCATCATGTTTCAGTCTTTCAATGCTGTTGGAGTCTGACATGATAAAAATCTATTTCCATTTTATATATGCTACAGGGAACATCCTGTGTGTGTCCTAATAGGTTGTGAGAGGTTTCTAGAGTTGCCTTTACACATCACCACAGACTGAGGGGGTTAACAATGGAAATGTAGTTTCTCATAATTCTGTAACATAGAAATCTCACACTAAGTTGTTGGTTGAGGGTAGTTGTTTTAACTTAAACTACCAACTTTGAGATTTTTATACTTTGTGCTAGACTTATATAAATGTGTTTATTAATAATGATTACCACATTCTTTTTCAAAAGCCATTTATTACCCAATCGATATTAAATTTATGTGCCTGAATTTTTATATTTTGGCTTTTTAGAAGATTTGGATATTTGTCCATTTTCAGTCTGCTGACTGTTCCCATATTTTATCTTTCTCCATGATTAATTCTAGTGATTGTGAAGTTATATGCAACTTTCTTCATAAATTAATCTGAATTTGAATATTTGACTTTATCTGGTCAACAATTTGAAGGTCTGATTCTTGGATGAAAGTAAGAAGGAGTCGAATAGGTTCTTTTCCCTCTGTTACCTTTTATTATCTTTTCCAACAATAAGCTTATTTTTTCCTTATCAATCTTTCTGGTTGGATGATAACTTTAAAACACCATTTCTGGTTGATGTTGATATGGGTAGACAATACACAGATCAGTTGAGGTTTTAGCCCAATGGACAATATTCTGATAGTTTCAGCCTATTTCTTTTTCTGTATGCCCTTAGTTTTGTGTAGGTTTTTCTGTTTACTGTTTGTGTCCTTTTAAAGTTTCAGCTCATATGAAAGCTTTTTATTATCATTATATTGATTTCATGAAGGAATTCTTGGGAGTCTGGAAGTTAAGTGACAGAAGAAAGCAACAAGCAAGGCTATAGGTTTATAATACCAAAGGAGAAAAACATCTTTTAAAACCCATTTTCATGACCTATGCTTGAGCTCTACTTGTATGCTTTTCTAAGACAATCTCACCCCATGATACATGCTCACATAACAAAAGTGTTGTGTGTGGCGATGGCTGCAGCTGTGTGTACTTGGGGTTTTGGGGAGTGAAGGTCAGGTGTGTTTCAATTACAATGATACTCAAGGAATACCTACCTGCATTTCATTTTGCTTGCCTTTTTCAATTTCAATAAAATTTCTACCTTAAGAGTTTACTTGATTTCAGATCAAAACTCTGAAAAGGGTTATGTTGTAAAGTTTCTGAAGACAGCTTAGGGTTTTTAAATTTTATACCTTTCAAAGATCTTCTTGGAATCTAAGACTTTCCATCAATGTGAAAGACACATTACACACACAGAGGGTTTCCAGCTTTAGGCCTTACATTTCCATTAGAATGATATTACATTAAATAGGCATGTTTTGGTTTTGCTTTTAGTTTTACGTTTCTACCAGGATCACTGCTCCTTGTCAGACCACATACTCTGTGCAAGCTGTTTCAAAGTGTCCACGGAAAGGGAGAAAGACTTTCATACTTTAAAAAAAAAAAAAAAATTTAATTCATAGAGGAAAATGAGTACTGAAGCCTGTAGATACAATGACTACAAGAGTTTTCTTTTTATAATAGTTGTTGCTCCAGGCCATCATAAAATACCAATGGCCTTTGTGATCTTAGCAATCTTGTTTTTCATTACCTCCTACTGGTGTTTACACACCTATTTTCACTTGTGTTGTCATCTGTTCAGAACAACACAAAATACATATTGCTTTTCTCATTTTGCCCAATATGTTAAATGGAGGCTATGTTTCAACAAATTCATGTGAAAACAAGAACGACTTTCTACATCCCTTCCTGAACAGAGTCCTAAAGAAGCTCTAAGGTTGACAATAATTTACTCAGTAATTACATACTAAGTGTGAAAGCAATATTAAAAATTTCTTTTCATTTCTCAAAAACAGACTGCTTCTAGGCCAGTAATTTATTTTAATTGAATGCTGAGAAAATTGCTGGCTGAAAAACAGAGAAAAACAGTTCGTTTTGGTCTAAAAAATCCATGCAAACCCAAATGCTCACAGGGGTCAGGCAGGGAATATAAATGAGTGAAGTGGACAAGAGGGATTCATCGGTGGGCAGGAGAGCCTCGGGCCTCATCTAAGGGGACACTGAGAGCCCACTGGCTGATGACTGCCTACAGCACTTGGGCTTCTGTTTCCAGATCTGCCAGTTTTTACAGGGATGCCAGGAACCTTGAGCTTTATGTGAAACATTCTGCTTTTCAAGTGTTGGAAACCAATTAAAAATAATTTAAACCCCTCTGCACATCGAAAAGAAGAAGGAGGAGAAGGAGGAGAAGGAGGAGAGGAGGAAAGGGGAAAGAAGAAAAGAAACACACTCGAGCATAGATTGGGCCTGGACATCACATTTCACAACCTTGTGTTCTAGGTGAGAAAATGAGTTTTCCCCTAGGGAGGAATGATCTTTAGCTTTTTGTGTGTGTGTGAATTCATTTTTCTTTATTGCATCCTTTTTTTACTATATTCCCTGCTGGAAGAGTTCAAGATAATAGGAAATCTTAAAAGTAAAATTAGTGAATTATATACATATCTGTGTATACATACACAAACACACACACAGAGATATACCTATACAAAGTGTAC